CCGATCCAGCTGCCGGCCTCGGCCTCGGACCTCAGCCCCAGCTCCGCCCCGTTCAGGCCTGGGAGGTGGTCCAGACTCCCGGCTGCACCTCCAGCCCAGACCTTTCCCTCCTCCCTGCATCCATGGGATCCGTTTCCCCAGGAACTGCTTCCTGAATCTGACCCTGGAGAGCCGTCAGTCTCACCAGAAACCGGCACCTGAGCCCTGACCCCGCGACTCAGCGCTTCGGGCTCATCATCAGGAGCACCTTTAACCATGAGCAGAGGGGCTGCGAGGCCGGCCAGCCCAGGGCTACCAGGCTTGCCAGGCCCCGCTGCAGACGTGCTGGGTGACCTTGAGCAAGTCCCTGCCCTGGGCCTCAGGCCTTCCCATCGCAAACCGGAAGGTGGAACTGTGCCTCAGACCTTCACCTCGGCTACTCGCTTGTCTGTCGTGCCCGGCATGCTGCCTGGCGCGCAGCGGGCTCTCGCATCTGCGTGACCCGTCTTAGAGTCACTTCTGTCACTGTAGTTGCCAGATTCAGCAAATGAGAACATAGGGCCCTGGCCAGGTAGCTCAGTGGGTTAGAGCATCGTCTGGATACGTCCAGGTTAGGGGTTCAATCCCCCGTCAGGGCACGTACAAGAATCAGCCAATGAATGCATACATACGTGGAACAACAAGTTGATGTCTCTCTTCTCTCTTTCAATAAAAAATAAAGATACAGAATGCCTGGCTAAATGTGAATTCCAGGCCAGCGACCGATAAGGTTTTTAGTGTAAGTGCATCCCATGAGACACACTTACACTAAAAAATTAGTTCTTTATCTAAAATTCAACATCGCCCTGACCGGTTTGGCTCAGTGGATAGAGCGTCGGCCTGTGGACTCAAGGGGCCCGGGTTCGATTCCGGCCAAGGGCATGTACCTGGGTTGCGGGCACATCCCCAGTGGGGAGTGTTCAGGAGGCAGCTGATCGATGTTTCTCTCTCATCGATGTTTCTAATTCTCTATCCCTCTCCCTTCCTCTCTGTAAAAAATCAATAATAAATAAATAAATAAATAAGATACTACATCACATGCATCCTGCATTACCTGATAGCCCACTGGCTGAGTGATGGCCTCAGGCCCGACCCCTGACCTCTCGCGAGGCCTGGCATGGGGGGCACCCACTCCCACAGGGAGCTGGCCCTGCTGCCCACCACCAGACAGATGGCCACAGCCACAGGCCCAGTAAGCAGTTCCTTTCTCTGGAACCGATGAGCCCCTAACGAGCCCCAGGAGACCACAGTCTGGAGGCAGCGCCAGGCTCGCCCCTGGGGGAAGGCAGTCCCAGACGCCCCATGTTCACGGACACTCGCTCTACCTCTGCCTGGGGGGCAGCTGGCATGAGAACCCCCCCCATCCTGTCCGTCTGAGGCCACGGGTGGTCGTCAGGACGGCGGGGGCACCAGCAGGTGCCGGGCGGGTGTGTGCCAGGCCTGCGGGGAGGGGCAGGCGGTGCCTGGGAGCTGCCGGCAGGAGTGCCATCTGGACATGGGCCTGGCACCACTGCTCTGTGAGAATCGTGAGCCGGGTCCTCCCCCCTCGCGGTGAGGGGCGGGCGTTTGGAGAGCCGCCCGGAGCGGAGGGGAAGGGATGTAGGTCAGCTCGGCCTGGAGAGATGATGTCATCGCCTCCTCGGGGAACCAACGAAGTGGGAGTTTGGGGGAGCGGGAGATGGTGCAGAGCCGGGCAGGGAGAGGGGGCCAGGGCCAACACCCCTCAGAAGGCCACCCCACCACGATTTCAGGGCAATGACAGGGAGCCTCGGACATGGGGCGCACGTGTGGGCGCAGGGAGCACCCCAGACCCTGGGGGCTCGTGGTCATCGCTGGCTCTGGCCAGTGACTTCCAGCTCCTCTGGAGCAGAGGTGGGGCTGTGGGGTTGGGGGAAGAGGCACAGGGGTGACGGAGAACTTGAGCCCTCCAGGCCTGAGACCCCGACAGCGTCGAACAGCTGAACCATCATAGATGGGAGCTGGAATCCAGTGGCAGACACTTGTTTCCCAGTGTTCTTTCTCTCACTATTCCATAGTAATAAAATCCATAATTTTTGTAATACAAAATAAAGGCAACACTTTCTAGCTTCTCCTGCAGTTAAGTGTAAGAACACATGCCTAAGCTCGTGGGCCTGGGGGCCGCGGGCACCTGGCGCGGCCTGCTTCCCTGGTAATGTGGATAAATGCGGCTGGCGCTCCTCCGGGAATGCAATTAGGCCGGCAATTGAGTTCATTGGCCAAATCAAATTCGGGCGGCTGTGCGAAGTCCTCTTCTATTAAGTGCTTTAACATACATCACCCGTCCGGTCTGTTCCTAATCCCATTACCCACTCCACAGCCCCAGGCTTCCCACGGAGCAGGACAGGGGCTGATGGAGGGGCTGGTGGCTCCCGGGGCATGGCCTGGGGGTGACATGGTGGGTGCTACCAGGTTGACTGAAGCAAAACCACTTCTCCCCTGTGGAAGGTCCCCGCTCCCCCGCCCCGCCCAGGGAAGGGCCAGGCCCAGGTGCTGGCCAGGGAAGCGTGCGCTGCCGCTGGGCGTGCTGGGGCAGCTCTGGGCGTGGTGCTAGCGAGCCCGCCGGCTTCCCCCTCGCAGCGCCTGCCTGTGTCCGGGTCCCTTTCTTCTCTGGAAGCGACACTGACGGTGAGTGAGGCTCCTTTGTTCACGTGTGTAAGTTCATTTGTTCGTGAATGAGCGAGTGAGAGTCCGCAGGGCACCGCCCGCCCGAGTTCTGGGCGTGGCCTGGCAGGTGCGAGTCTGAGGCAGGCCAGTGCCCTCAGGGCTCAGAGTCCGGGAGGGGCCGTGTGTGTGTGTGTGTGTGTGTGAGAGTGAGTGTGAGTGTGCGAGTGTCTGTGTAGCTGGGACAGCGCTGCTCTCCTTGAAGGCCCGAAAAGGGAGGGAGGATGGTCCCCGGGCCTGCAGCCTTCGAAGCGTCTGGGCCAAGCCTTGGGCGGCGAGGAGTTTGCCAGGTGGGAAAGCTGGGCTCCAGGCATGGGCACAGCCCAGAGGCGGGTCCCTGGGACCCAACACCAGCGGGTTGGTCCGAGAGGCCTCGGAGGTGGGGGCGGCCGGCGTAGCCTTGATTCTGAGTTCCTGGGAAGCCGCTGAAGGCCCGTGCAGTAAAGTGATGTGACTGGGTTTGTGTTGGGAGAAAAGTCCTCCACGTGGAAGGAGCAAGGTGGGGGGCGCTGGCCGTGTCCCCAGCAAACTCCTGATGCCCGTGCGCCTCCCGCGGTGGGTGGGGTGGGTGGTGAAGGGTCCGTGTTAGAACCTGCGTGGCTGAGAGACGGGTGAGAGGGACAGAAGGAGCCAGAGGCGGGCGTTCCCCGCGGGTCTCGGGCCCCAGGCCCTGAGTGGGCAGCTCCAGCGGGGAGAAGCTGGCCTGGGCTCCTGCGGGGGCTCAGCTCACCTGTGGGTGCAGCGTGGCCTAGTGTGTGACGTGGGTGCGTGGGGTGGGCACTGTGTGGCCTGCAGGGGGCGCATATGAGGCAGCACCTGTGGGTCTAAAACGGGCTCCCCCTGTGGAGGGGAGAAAGGGTCGGATGAGAGCAAGGCCTGAGGGGTCGTCTGGGTTGGGCCTGCCTTCGGCCCTGTCCGTCCTGCCCTGATTATAGCGAATGAGGTCCTGCAGGTCCCCGAGCTGGAGGCGGGGCAAGGAGCCTGTCCCAGGCCCGGCAGCCAGAGGCCCAGCCCGGATCCTCCAGCTCACCCGGGGCGCTGGGCTGGGCGTCTCCACGCCCTGGTCTGCGTGGGCAGTGACCCGCTTCCGAAGCCGTGCTGGCTAACAGTCAAGTGAGCTTCTCTCTCCTGCTCACCTGCCCGCTGATGGCGGGGCGGCAGGGTGGAGAGCAGGGATTCGATTGGCTGGAGAGGCTCCCCGCGAGGGTGAGGCACCCGGGAATGGCGCTGTGTTCCGGGGACTCGGGGCTGACTTCTCACGATCACAGGAGCCCGGGCCTCAGCTCACCTGCGAGTCCCCGCTGAGGTCGGCCACTCGCAGGTGGGGAGACTGAGGCTGGGACCCACGGGCCTTGCTCAGGGCCGTAAAATGGCAAATGAAAGAATCTGAATTCAAACGCAGCTTCACCAACACCTGGGGCTGTCGACGCGTTACCAAGAGGCCTCTGAGCCAGGACTGGCAAACGGTCCCTAGAAGTGTGAGAAGCGGGATTCTGACCTCAATGTTACCTCGGGCAGCTGCGTGTGGCCTGTGCTTACATGTCAGAGGCGAGAGCTGTGTACACACGTGTGCACACACACACACAGGCCCCAGCCAGGTCTCCCCGCCTGCGGTTCCTATTCTCGGCCAGAGTCCCGTCATCTCCAGTTACGGGGGGATAGATAGGAACAGGACGTTTAGGGAAGAGCAGGAGAAGGCTGGGTAGGGGGCGGGTCAGGGGAGAAGAGAACGGGCAGTGTCCTCGGCCCAGGGACTCGGGTGAGCAGCCCGGCCCCCGCAGAATCTGGGGGAGCCGAGGGCTCAGACAACCCAGGGTCATGGGCCAGCAGTGCCCGTCCACCTGGGACCTGGCAGGTCTCCTCTCTCCCAGCACTTAGCCTCCTCCTGGGTGAAGGGGGTGAGGACACAACACCTGGCACCCGCACCCACGCATCCTAACGCGGTATTCCCTGTTCCCTTAATCGGCGCTGGTTATTGTTGTACAGGGCCTCTCCCCCCAACCCCCGCACCGACTCCCCCAAACACCACCCTGCCCGCTTGCATGCCTCCAGGACGGGGAGCTCACTCCCTTCTCCCTGGCTGGCAAAGGCCCAGCTGGACTGGCTCCCTGGACCCTCCAAGTGTTTCCTGGGCAGAGAAGTTGCCCCTGGGCAGGGCCTGGTGGTTAGGGCCGGGCGGCCAACGCCTCTCCCTCCGACCCAGCCCGGAGTTGGCAGACCTGAACAGGTTCAGCCTGAGCCCCGCGACCCGAGAGCCCCGGGGTCCCCAGGTGCCTGCTCACCCCATCCTGTGCGCTGGGCCTGCCTGGCTCCCTGGCCCAGGGGGCTCTCCCACCAGGAATTTGAAAAGGAAACATAGAGACAGTCACAGCCCTTTGCCGATCATCTAATCAGACCTAATTAATCAATAAGCCCCTCGGCCGCTTCCTTGCCAACCAGCCGCCCGGTGCTCACTGCATCTGTGAATTGACAGCCGTCCTTTCGCCATCCCTCGCGCTGCTGCTCACCGCCCACGCAGGCTGGGTGCCCAGGGGAGCTGGGAGCTGCTGGGCAGACCGGCCACCTTGCCAGGGAGACGTGGGCTCCAGGCGGCCCTGGCCCTCACGTCACAGATGGGAAACTGAGGCCCGGAGAGGGGCACAGCAGGGCTGGAACCCAGCGCACAGCCCGGTCCGTGGGCGCTGGCGGGCCCTTTCCCGCCCTCTCCCTCCGCCCTCCTGGGTACGCTCTGCCCCACGTGCCCACCGCGGCGTCCCTTCCAGGAGACAGCCTCCCGCAGAAGCGTAAGGCACACGGGCCCTGACTGCCCCATCCACCGGGCGCTGCCGCCGGCCCGGCCTCAGGACCCGCCTGAGCCACCTCATGAAGGGCAGGTGCCCCTTGACCAGACTCCTGAAGGTGGGGGTCCCGCCCAGCCCAGCAGCTCAGGGGTTGAGCATCAACCTATGTACCAGGTCACGGTTCGATTCCCGGTCAGGGCACAGGCCCGGGTTGCGGGCTCGATCCCCAGTGTGGAGTGTGCAGGAGGCAGCCGATCCACGATTCTCATCATGGATGTTTCTCTCTCTCTCCCTGCTCCTTCCTCTATGAAATCAATAAAAACCTTAAAAACAAAAAGATGAGGATCCCCCATAGCAGCCCAAAGCGAGTCAGAGAAGGGGCTGAAGCCCCCAGAAGGTGTGGGTTTCTGGTTCCCACCTCGGAGCTGCTAAGCCTGGCGGGACTGCGGGCGGAGGGAGGGTCTTGAGCCAACACCCACTGCACCCCAAGGGCAGGCAGAGGCCACCGAACTGACCGAGTCCTGACCCTGGGCACAGGAGCTCGATCCCTAACCCCCGGCAGCCACAGCAGTGGCCACAGATCAGGTTTCCAGAATATTCCTGACGTAAAGTATCTCCCCCCCGTGAGGGAGGGTGAGAGTCCAGGTGGGAGCCGCAGGCCCTGCGTGTGCACCTGCCTCCCGCTCACCCGCTG